TCAGCAGGAGTTCAGGGCTGAATATCTCCTCCTCACTGGCTGGGGACAGACACAGCAGGCTATCAGACATTCTCTAAATGGAAACTTTGAGATGGTAAGAGTTCTGTTAGAGGTCTGGTCTTTAGGGCCCAAATTGCCAAATGATCTTGTAGAGGTTGGCTGGAGAAGCAGTACTGCGTGAATTTCCACCGCCCAGGTCCATGCAGTAAATAAATTCTGTAGAGTATTTTCAGCTTTACTTGAACGAATGAGACATCTACCAAAAATAAAAATTAAAAGGGGGTTGAACAAGGCACATTCTAGCAGCCTTCTACTGCCAAATAATGCTGCAGTACAGAAGGTGTGTGAATTTGTATCTCTTGACTGAAATACCAGTCACTTTAATATGGGATAACTGGAGATGAAGACCCCTTTTTCAGACATGGTATTTGTTGATGATATTTTATGTTCCTACTTGGTGAGACACCAATACACTTGCAATATTAGATAAAACTAAAAAAAAACCTCTGTGTTGGGGGTAGTGGAAGGATTTATATGAAAACTCCTAAATAAAAAGTGCTACTACAAGCTTGCAATATCCTATTCTTTGTTAAGTTTATGAAGATGAAGGAGATTGTAACTTTAGAAAAAATAACTGCTTTCCCAGAGTGGCATATTTGTCAGGGGTTATCTTATGTTATGACACCAAGTGTATATTTAGTATATAGTATGTATAGTATTAAATTAATGGAATCTGTGCTTCCTACTTCTGAATGTGAGACAAACAAATATGTGGCATTTTGTTGTGCTCAAATAAGATTTATTAATCATTCTTTTTTTGTTGTTGCTGCCTTTGTTACCAATCTAAGCCAAGCGACCTAAGGAAACATCGGAGAAAGGTATGATACTGGGGGTTTTTTTCAGTTTCAGAGAGCACATTTATCATATTCCTCTGCTATTCAGATAACCGTGTTCCTTGCCAGCCACTGCATCCCCTGTGCTCCTTTTCTTTCAAGTCCTGAACATAATAATCTTAATCCTACCAGGAAAGGCTTGGACAGGTCACAGCTAAGCCACAGAATCGAGGCCCAACAGCCTTGGAGTAGTAGCCTCTACAGCACAAACTTAAAGGAACACAGTTTAAAAAAAAGTGTGGACACAAAAGAATGACCTTCGAATGTATTTTGGTCATTCTTCTTGCTGGAGGAACCAGAGTGAGCTTACTTGAAATCTTCTGGAGCATTATAAAGTTGTTTACAGAATTGGCAGTGAATATGGGATTTATCTTCACATGAGAGGAGATGGTATTTAAGATAAATCATTAGATGCTGTGACAAAATTCCTTTTTGTTCATGCTTATTTTCAAGCGTTCTAACCATTCTGTTACCAAGCTGTGGAGAGAGTGGTCCTGTTTATGTCTGTATTTACCCTCTCCCTTACATCTCTGAGAAATTTTGTTTACTTGAATAATCCCATTTAATGCAAGAGACCCGCTCATGTCTAAGGTTATTTTCATGTTTAGACCTTTACTGGATCAACCTGTTTGGCATAAAAGGAATTAATTTCTTCTCGAAGTATAATCTCTTTTCTTTCAAATGCATTCTTTAAACTGCCATATTTAGGCAATTGCTCTTTCCCAATAGCCTCTTTCAAAAATAAGAATCCTTACAATTTGCTCAAAAACTTGCACTTGAAACCCTACGTGCTTCAGTTCACTTGACAAATTCATGCAGCATATGATGAAACTTTCTTAAAAAGCTAATCTGCTCTCAACAGAGTCTCTCTTCCCTAGATCGCAGTAGTTGAAGAAGATGGGCGTGAAGATAAAGCCACAATCAAATGTGAAACTTCTCCTCCTCCAACACCCAGAGCTATCAGAATGACTCATACCCTTCCTTCTTCATACCACAATGATGCCAGAAGGTAAGATGTTTGTAACATTTTTTTCAAATCATGTTGTTGCTTATCTATTCCAAAATGAACTGATTTCTTCCTGTTTCTTCTTGGCAATGTTTCCCCTGCCATGAGAGAGAAAGCCTTACCTTTTGTCTCTTGCATGACCCTGAGAACATTTGTCAGTGTTAAAATACATGCTGGATATTTCTGTTTTGAGGTACAGTTTTGATCACTACTAGGAGTAGTGATACTGCAAATCCTAGAAAGACAAACAGTAGGCTGATTCCTATATTTTTCATCAATTGTTCTTAGCAAATTAAAAATATTTATTTTCAGCCTTTTTTTTAATAAGATCCAGTCAGCCTGATGGAGAAAATGTGATCTTGTATTGCTCTACATGTTGCTAAATCATTTAAAGAAGATATGATCATTTCACTTGTTGGGAGACCGTTACTGAAGTGTAACCAATTAATTTGTTTGCAGAGCTGCTCAGAAGAAAGTAAAAAATTACCTGCAAATGTTGACATGTTATCTATTCCATTTATTTATTATCATTTTGTAGTAGTTTGCCTGCTTCATTGGAGCCAGAAAGCATTGGTCTTGGCAGTGTCAATAGCAGCCAGGACTCCCTGCACAAAGCTCCCAAGAAGAAAGGAATCAAGTCTTCAATAGGACGTTTGTTCGGTAAAAAAGAGAAGGCTCGACTTGGACAGCTCAGTAAGGAATTAGTGGTAACAAGCCAACATCACCATTTCACAGTCATTTTTCCCTTTGTAATTTTGCTTCTTTTCAGTTTCCAATTTGCTTATTTTTCTCTTTTGTCTGGCAGAACTTTTTCATTAAACTTCATTGTTATCAGCAATTACATTTGTCAGGAGTTTGCTATGACTGTTACGAAACTGAAAGGACTTCTGGCACAAATTACTAGAGTCATCCTCTTCACTGAACCTACTGCTTCAGTAGTCTCTTGAATTAGGGTGAAAGTGCTAACAGTGTATTCTCAAATAACCAAAATAAAGAGGAGGTGAGAAAGTAGTAAGTAATAAACCACTGTAAGAGGTGTAACTATGAGAGATGGAAAGTCCTTGCAAGTAAGTGCACTTGCTTTTCAGATTTCAGTATGTCAGTAGATGTCTGCTAGTGCCTGTCTCTGAATGTCCTCACCATACTCTCGATTAGTTACGCTGCTCACGGCAATGCTTTTTTTTCTTCCTATTTATTCTGCCCTTTTCCCTTCCCAAGACCTTATTCTAATTCACTCCTGGTAAAAATTTTCCTCTGTGATATTCCATAGGATATGTCTATACCACATGCAAAAAAAGGGGGAAAAAAAAAAAAAAAGGTCAGTCATGACTTTATTTAACTACCTTACGTAGCATAAGCAATGGAAGGCGAAGTGAGAGTCTTCAGCAAAGGCTCATAGTCTGCATGGCCACATGGGCAAATACATCCTTATCTGCAGTCTATACTGCTATGCTATCTGATTTAGCTAGATTGAGATTAGCATATATACACATGCCAGCCCAGGCATCAAACCGGTATAGATGTGTCAGTAAAATAGAAATACTAGCTCTTTCCTAGTCACGAAGATATCACATAGTACAAATTTGTGAGGCACCAAGTTTTTACTGCCATGGTGACCACATAATGCCTGTAAAAGAATTTTAAGGGTTTGCAGGAACTGTAAACACTTAAGCAATATGTAAGCCTGAAACTAAAAAACATAAGTTCATATTAAAACATGTCCCTACCACAACTAACAAACCCATCACTAAAATCATACAGAATAAAATAAGGTAATATTAAGGCCAAAGTATCAGAGTAAAATCAAATAACTGAGCATTTTCCATTTATACGCCAACCTTTCTCTTCTCTGCCTGTGAGAACCTTGTGTTCTTGAAAAAAAATAACTGATTTCTAATCGCAATTTAAATTCTCTTTTTTCTCACTACAGGAAGAATAAAACAGATTTATTAAATCTTTTTGATAGTTTAATGTATTTCAGAATCTCTGAAATGAGTCTCTCAAACACACCTGCATGTTACTGTCTGCACTGGTGGAGAATTTTATAACTTTATCCTGTTATTAATTCACATTACATTCCTTAAAAACAATTTTATTGATACTGATGGATTATGCATAATAATCTATGATTCCACAGTAAATCAGACACATAGGGGACACAGATGGAATAAATGTGTTGGTCTTCCCTGCAGTTCCTTGCAATGTGGAACAAAAACAAAACAACAACATTAAAGATTATCTCAGGAGCAATGTAATCTGGCAATACATTAATTTCTTAATAATACCTACAATGATTAATAAGACATATGTATAATTGGATAAAGTCTACTTGTAATTCCCAACACTAGCTCATGAAATTGCAAAAAGATATTAGTGAAGATTTGCAATTAAATTAAATTTTTTTATCTTCTATCCTTTAGCTCAAGAGCAAATATTTCAGTATAATGCACATTTTAATTAAGCAAACTAGGTTTACAAGCATGTATAAAATTAACAGTAGGACTGTTAACTGACCAAAAAGTAAGAGCAAAATATTTTTAGAAGTTAAAAGGACATTGAGACGTTGAATTTTAGAGTAGTTTTTTTATCTTAATTTTTAAGATCCCAAAAGAAAAACAAATATTGAGTGGCAGTTTCTATTCAATGGGAGCACTTTAAAGACAAAAAAAAACAAACAAAAAAAATTAAATAACAATCATGGTAGTACTTGAATCAATTCCATGACAGGTACACTATCTGTGCAGCTATATAATTAATAGATATATTTAGAGTAAGATGCTATATCATAGAAATCTAGATAGTAAGTCCTATCATTACTGCACTGCAGTATATTTGTATGGTTTTCATAACCTAAATTTTCATAAACTAAATTTATAATAATATTTATATTATTATCTGTTATATAATAATTATAATATAAAATCAAAATATAAAATAAAAAGAATCTCATTTAATTCTTTGCTTAAACATCTAATTTGATACAGATACATACTTGTTATATTTTTCAATTCAATAGCTCATCAAATACTAAAAAGGTAACAAAATGTAATTTTGAGCCTCAGAAATATTTTTTTTTCTTATATGCATATTAGCACATGAACACAATTACACTTAAAGGAGCACTTTAAAAGTTCATGTCAGTGCAGAGGATATTAGGGATCCCAGTGATGGTATATGCCGTAAGTACACATAATACTTCTGTAACTAATTCTATAATATCTGTAAAATCACATATAATATATACTGGTATTTAAGAAGCAATATTGGAACCTCCAAAGTTTTATCACTAACTTCAACAGAGCCAGGCTATCACCCAAAAGATTTCCTTGCTCTGCGTTCCCTGCAAAACTCTGAAATTTTTAGTTTCCAACTGCTAAACTTGCCAGAGTTTCGTTATTTTAGTATTTGCTACTTTTACCATCTCTGCTAAAACCATTTGCGTTCTTGTTCAAAGGCAAATTCATGCCTTAGGAGATCTTTCTTAGCATCAAGATTGAAGATTTCTAGATTCTTCAAGATTTCTTTTAATTATTGGAGAAGGGAAAAGGGATGTTAGAGGGAGCACGAGTGCCTTTTGTTTCTTTTTTTTTATGTATTTATTTGTTTGTTTTTAAACTTATCCAGTCTTCTCTCACTTGGGAAATACCCCACTAGACACTTAAATATTCTTCCCACATTACATTTTAAATATTCTAATCCCTAAAACAAGCAATACATTGCAGGGATTTTAGCCCTGCCCAGGCAAGCTGATCTGTGCGGTGTACGCAAAGGTCAGCTTGTGAGGAAACATTTATCATGGCCACTTGCACATCTAAGATACTGACAGGCACAATCACCACAACCGATACGATGTACCCTGGGTCGCTCAAGGGGCCGGATGTGCTTGTCTGATGGTGAAGTCCATTATGCCGAGGATACTTTCCGATCCGTGATAAACCCTCACTGCACTGCACTCGTACTGTTTCCAACATAGTGTGAGCTGCTTTCTCGGACGGTTGTAACATTTTGATGCAGCAGTTTGCTAAATTAAAAACTTACTTCAGAGTCAGCAATAAACATTTAATGAGATATTCTGTAAAACTTTGAAAGGCAGATGAAGTAAAGCAAAGTATCTGTTCATGTTTTTGCATTTGTGATTGGAGGCATCATTTTCGTCATGAGACTTGCAAAAGTCATGTCCTCTTAAATAAAGAAAAATTCTGTCTAGACAAGCAGGAGTGTTAAAACTACCTCTCTTTTGAAAGGACAGCTTAAAATCAGGCTTTTCTAAGTTAACGTCATAAACATGATACAGCAGTAGGTTTTGTTCTCACTTGACTGAGGTGCATGTAGATGTGACTTGTAAAAGACTGTGATGCTATTTCACTGTATATAACATTTATGCATTGTTTTATGGTTAAAATCAATGAATCAGAATAGAAATCTTTTAATTTATACTGTGCTTTCTTAATTATGCCAATGTCCACTCTACAATTGTTCACTCTCCATTAGCTGGGAAATAAGAAGTTGCCACTGCCTAATGGAGTCAAGCACCAAGATTTACCGTACTGTTGTCTGTCTTCCCGTGCCAGTTACGCACCTTCTGAATAGCAGCACAGGAGGAAAGCACCCTTCAAAGAATTGAATTGTGCAGCCCCTCTGCCTGCACACATACACGTGCAAATGAAAGGACAGCGTAAAGCCAGGAGACTGTACTGACAGCTCCATGAAGTCCCTTCTTCCTTGAATCCAGGCAGTGATAAAAAAGTCAGAGCATCTTTCCATTTCTGCGCTAGGAAGGTCACAGTAGTGGACATACTGTGTGATCAGCATGGATCATACAATTTTATTTTGATCCAGGTGTCCTTGCTTACTGCAAACTCCCGTTATCACTCTATGCAAGTTATTCAAGTTCCCATGACTTTGACAGGAATTAGGTGCCTACAAGACTCCTCCAGGGAGACCTAGAAGGCTTTACTTCTCTGACAGATTCTTTGTGTCATCTCTGGCTTGGGAGTTTGCAGGGATAACAACATTAAAGACTCTAAGACTCTGAGAGCAAAAGGAAGACTTTAGTATTACGACATTAAGTGATGCTGTATTATGTCAATAATAATGAGACGGTTCTTGAGAAGGCACTTTCATTTATACATTTCCCAACTAAGATTAAAAAATGGTGAGGGCATTGCTTACTTAGGACCATGAGGCTGAGCCTTAAGAGGCAAAGAAAAACAGGCAAAGGCGATCAGGGTGCTCCTGTCATACATTTCTGCTAAACACAAGGAGGAGGAAACAGTTTTTCCCTCTACTTCTACACTTTTCCATGTAGTAAACGCTTGCCAGAATTTACTTCTATAGGTGATAGATGTTCTCCACAAACAACAGATGTCATGGCTTAAGGAAACATAGATGATGGTGGAGGTGGGAGGGGATTTGAAAGGTTGAGGGGGGGAACAACTGGAAAAGAGCTATGGGAAAATATGGTGAGGTTTGTTTTGTTTTGTTTTACAGGAGGTTACATGGAAACAGAGGCAGCAGCTCAGGAATCTCTGGGATTAGGCAAACTTGGAACCCAAGCAGAAAAGGACCGAAGACTAAAGAAAAAGTGAGTACCTTTGTCATTGGCTCAAACTTGATTCAAATGTCAGGTTTTGTCCTGGTTTTACGTAGACATGTAATGAAAAGCAAGATCACCTACTATGCCAGTTTAGCACCTAGCATGTTTTTTTCCAGTATAAAAGTTTTTAAAGCTGATTATAAAATACAGGGAAAAATATTTAGGGACTGTCAATTGTATAATATTGTTTCATTTGTGAAAGAACATAGGTTTATGAGAAAGAAACATTTTCTATTTCACATTGTCATTAATCCATGTCTCTTGACTTCTGTGCCTTTTGCCTTCCATGCAATTCTTAAAAAATAGGCAGGCATTTAATGACTCATACATAGATTTTTTCAGAAGGGAAAAAAAGATTTTTTGTATTATCTATTGAAGACATGATTATTTCTGTCTATAGAAGTATAGAAGGCTCCCTGTAAATCCTAGCAGGTTCACTTTCTTTTTGCCTGTCAGCAAATGGCAACCTAGCTTTTTGTTTGCGTAAGTTATATAATAATTTAATGCTGTCTTTGGTGCACCTCCTTGTAAAACCAGTACACTGACTCATAGCAGCTGCTAGGAGCTATGGAGAACTATTAAAATAAAGCTACAAACACAAAAGAAACCTCTTGGCAGCATCACAGTTCCAGTGTAATTAGAGGGTGTCAGAGAAAAAAGATGGTACTTAAAAATGACGTTGCAAATTCATTCTGTAAACAAACAGGTTTATTTTTCATCCATAACTATTAACTTTAGTGCTATTAAATGGATTCTGAAAGCCTCATTTTTTAAATTTGCAAGGTTTTCAGGTTCCTTTCAGTCTTTTAATGTTCCTTTGCAAAGTTTCAAGAGGATTTGCAATTCTAATACAAGGAATCTAGGGATAATGTTTCAGCTTCTTTTAAAATTTATATGTAGAATATTTTTAATCACTACTTTCATATCAAGCTCCTGTTGAAATATAAATTTAAATGTACACATCCATGTAATGTACAAATGTAAGTGTCCCATTTAAATCAGCCTCAATTTAGCAATTAAGATAGAGAAGCAGTCATTGTGCTAGCTGAGAGAGGAGAAATGTTTTAAACTCAATTAAGAAACTCAAAAGAAACACATTCACAGGGATATTGCAGTTGATGAGTCTTGTCCCTGTATTTCTTATCTGTACATTTTTATCACTCATTAGTCATTTAGAAATATATGGATGTAAAGAGTAGATTACTACACTTTTTTACTAAATCTAGAAAGCATCTTTGAGACCATTATTACCATTCATAAAGAATATAATTGAATTTTCAATAGCCTGGTTCTTGCAGTCCTTTTTATCTTCCAGCTCTGAGGACTGAAGGTGCCACAGTATTGAAATCACTTTGAAAAGACGAATGTATTCACTTTGTTCACTTTCTCATATGTTAGTTCTTTAGACTGGATAAAACAAGACTTGACACATAGTACTGCAAACATGACATAACTACTTCATATAAGAGAGTACCTACCAAGTTTCAGGTCTGGTAATAGTAGGTGCACAGGTAATCCGTTATTAGACTTCTGCCTAATCTCACACAATTAGACTTTTCCATGCTTTCTGCTTTTCAAGTCTTTCCTTTTTTTTCTCCTGTGTCTGTCTGTCCTTGGTTCTTTATGGATTAGATACAAACAAAATTTTCTCTGCTGGAAGGAAAGGAATCTTTCCTTCATGACTATGACTATTCATCTAGTCTGAACTGTATACTATTTATCCTAAGTATATGTTATATACCTATGTCATGAAGATCTTTAATTTTTCCCCTGTTCCTTTAGATTTGTCTGTCTTCGTAGTTTCTCACTTTGGAATCTTTACAACTGCTTATAAGATTCCTCTTAAGTTACTGTCAGAGAAAGGTTAACATAAATTGCTAGTTTTTATATATATTATATAGTTGTAGAGGAACTGTAATATGGGAAAAAGTAACATTTTGTGTTAGAGATATCCATGAGATTCTACTGAATTATGATAGTCATTAGGGTGCCAAGCTATTAATAGGGTGTAAGAGAATTAACATTTTCCTGTAAAACATGCAGTCATGTATTTGCATATCTTACCTTGGAAAATATTAAGTTGAAACAGTCCAGAAAGTCATTTAAATGAAAAGTTTGTCTCAGTAGGTCAGACTCCTTTTTGCCAAGACTCAACAACTCATAACTCCTTCTGGAAGTAGAGCCTTCACATACGTACAGTAGCTGCAAAATTACTAATCTGGGTAATGCAAATGAGAATAGTATGCTGCGTAACATTAAGGATGATAGTAATGTGTATGAGGTCTTTATAAGAGGTAATAAGAGTAGTTTGAGAATCATTTGCTATCTCATGATGTAGTCATGACAGATTTCAATCCAGCATTTGATTCCTTTTTCCCGCTAAACAAAACTGCCCTACAAACTCTGCAGAGACAGTGAGCCCAGTCGCTGGGGCGAGCAGAGCGAGCAGAGCACTTCACCTTCTAAGAATTTCTATGGCTAGTTTAGATTAGGACATAAAACCCCAAGAGAACCAGGCCCACCAAAAGGTTAGTTAAAGGATAGGCTAAAGCAGGGAAGCAGTCCTTTGTATTACACTTCAGGTCTGGGAAAGCTTTACTTACATTGGCTTTGTTGCTTCCTTAACAAACCAACCCACCCACAAAAAACCTCAGGCCTATGATCCCAGAGCCAATTCCCTTTTCTGTAAAACAGGGATTATACCACATACTGAATTTGTGTTTCTCTCTTACACACATAAATCAAGGGAAACAGCTTCAGCCCTGGTAACAGCTCAGCAAACTTCTCTTTCAGTTCAACGGTAGTTCTGGTACAGGAAAGCAAGGATTCTCCCCTTGACATGAAACCAGAGGTCTGATTCCTCACTGTGATCAGCACATGAGTACTGTGAGCAGTACTGATGAGCTTCACCAGAGTTTGCAATTCGCTTTGAGTTAGTAAATTAAAATTGGATAGAAGTTATTATAAAAGGAGAGATCCTGCTAAAATGTTATCCATGGTATTTCTTTCAGCTGAATTAAAATTTCTAATTTTGCATTTTTTAGTATATTCAACTTCATCAGTAATTCAGCAAGGATGCCCCTACCCCAGGGATGAAGTAGTATGATGTTTCAAATTGTCAGCTGCTGCAGCCAGTAGGTACTAGTGGTCCACCAGGTGTCCTGGCCACCTGCTGCCTGAGTAGCAACCATGTGCATTGACCCTGCTCTGGCCTTGTGGAGTTACAAACACAATGCAGCGTGTCATAGTATTTTAGCACAATTTACATGCATAGAATAGATTTCTGAATACTACATTTCACTCTGAAAAGTTTCATGAGAGAATATGATAATCTGGAGACCAATTCTCTCTCTGGTGATTATAGTGTCATTAACCTAAATTTCTAAGTTTTCCTGCCTCTTGCTTAGAACATGCTATTTAGATGTAAAAATTTCTTTCCGTTTCAATTGACTACTTAGGCATCATTAAAATGTAATTAACAGTTTGTCTCAGTAATACGCTAGACATTTATAAACCTCAAACAAGACTATTTATCCAACACTTGGTTATTACAGTATATTTATTAGGAACAAGTCTTTCTCCTAAGGCGTCAAAGAGAAATTAAGGAAGCTGTGCAGAATTTTAAATTAGACCCAACATGTTTCTAAAATAATGTGAAAAGATGAACTTAAGTTGCCTGACATCTATAGATGTTTACTCTCAGACATGAAATGTGACAGCTCTAGCTGATATTAAAACTTTTTAAGTTTTACTATTTGTAAATTGAGCATGCACTCCTAGAAAACAAAAAAATTAATGTCAGGGGTATTACAGTATTATTCCATTGCTTGGTGAAAATAAGTGATGTTGGGGTGTGACAAAGAAGAATGCACTGCATTTTTATTATTTAAACTAGCCTTTATATTCCACTTCACTTGTTCTATACAAAAGCTGTTAATATTTTGTATATAATGTCTTCTGCCTTTTGTTTGACTCTCAGCGCTCCTTTGCCTAATGAGTACCTTTGAGAAAACTCAGAGTTTAGGACTATACCTATTAATGGCGCTGATACCCTCTATGTCACCATCACATTTGAGTCCCCTAATGATTCAAATACTTTGCGCTAATCTAAATCATAAATTTTATTTGATTAAGGTATACTCTCCAGAAGGCACCCATCACTGACATGAAGAATGGAACTTTTCTCTTAGTGCATTTTTTTGTGATTTACCAGACTCCCTGTGAAAAATGATTACCTAATTTTCGATTCTGAATTTTGTAGCTGACTCCAGCTAGCATTTCTCCATGACTGTCTATAGACTATCCCAGCTGTTCATAACATCATCTTTCATGGGTGTGTTTGTGCCAATAATATGACTGTGCACAATAACTTGGCCTTGGCACTCACTCAGGGTTGTCACGATAGACCAAGCTGGGACCCAGCATAGGAAGTTTCAGGTCAATCCAATGTCTATCGCAACTCATAAAGGTTCGTGGAAGGTTCAGATAGAGGCATAGTGCCCTCTGGAACAGCAGAATTTGATCAGCATGTGTCCCACAAGACAATTCATAACTCAGAAAAAACTGTAGATAACACTGTGCCTAAAATCAATCAATCTGTATCCCCCTTAAAAATGCATATCCCCACTGACCTCATCTCAGGTAGCAAATTAAGGCACTTAACAGAAGCTGTATGAAAGTTGTACTATCCTTTTCACTAAAATATCATATGATGAACCCGTTACAAAAATCTTCTTTAACTATGAACTCAACCATACTTTAAATATTGTCATCAAATAGAGCCATGTTTGCTTTCCTTTTTGCTATAACTATCCCAGTGAACATCAATTGCATTCTCCTTGTCCACAATTTTGCTCAGTGATGCCAAATCATCCTTACCCAAAAGCCTCATTGGTGGCATATACAGTTCCAAAGAGTCTGGCTTTGTCTTTCAAAGTGTTGTATAGCTCTGAGTGCCAGTAATATATATCCTTTTCAAGTGTAATGTT